AGTCCTACGCAAAGATAACACAATAAAGCTACTAATTGAATCTTGTAGTCACGCATATAGCAAAGACCTATTTTTCTGAAAATATTTTCATTAAGTTTAACGCGAGGTTGAACGTTATCAAATTATTATTATTATTAATTATGGTCGATTAAACCTAACCTAAAAATGTCTTTACCAAAAAATCATAAACAAATCAAATGTTTTCTTGGTATGGTTGGGTTCTATCGAAAATAACAACCTTTGTCCCCATGCCTAAGGAGAGGTCGAAAATGCAGAAGCATTTAAAAATGCTTTTGAAACATGTAAGTAATACTCTTGCCTGATCCTGATTTCTGTAAAGTATTTACATTAACTACAGATGCTAGTAAATATGCCATAGGAGGAGTTCTCATCAATTAGGGAAACCTATTGCTAAGCTAGTAGAAAACTTAACACTACTGAAACTAACTATTCGACTAGGTACTGAAAAATAGTTACTTGCCATCTTTAGGTCGGTGAGATATTTTCGACCATGCCTGTTTAGCAGACATTTCAAAATTAAAACAGATCATAAATCCCTAAAATGGTTAGATCGAAATTAATTGGGTCGATCCTTCTTCTATTGTCCGAATACGATTATGCTCGCGATTATGAAATATACTATATCAAAGGAACAGGTAATAATAATAACTTTTAAACAAACCAATACTCGCTGATTCGACTAGCACGAACAATGTTCATATAAGAGACATTGATATGACCATACAAGAATTTTTTTAAGGAAAACGAAAATAATGTAGCCAACAATTCATCTGGCTGACGAACCCCCCTCTCCTGTCCTATTTATACTGTGACAAAGCACTTAACTATCACAAAAACCAAATGATATCTAACGCTTCTCCAGTACCCACACCCATGAATTATCACCATATCTACAAAACACGACATCGTGGTGTCAATTTGAACTTCTCATGAAAAACTATTATATATTAGGCCCACTATGGTAATAGTATTTTACATTATTAGCCAGGTAAGTGAGTTTTTACTGGCGGTAGGAGAAGTTGACTAGCGAGCCGTTAGGCGAGCTTGTCATCTCCTAGGGCCAGTAAAAACTATTACCTGGCGTATAATGTACAATATTTGATTTGTTACTCATTTGTAAACGTAAATAATTAGTTCTTAAATTGATCTCGAAGAAATGTCTAAAATATCATATTATCCATGTAACAGAGACTTCGCATTAATTCTGGCCAATGAAATTACTAGACTACTAACTTGTAAAATTTTTACACGTCAGCTGTCAGTCAGTAGCGTTTAAAGATGACGTTTACCCGTTTGCGTTTTGTCTTGTTATAATCAACGTTTACAACTGAGTAATAAATAAAAGATTTTACTAAAATTCATAAAGTTTTAACATTTTGATTATGGACCCAAATACAGATCCGGTGGGACCTTCATCCCCTTTTGCCCAAAAAACCACCCCCAATAGTGACTTCGAAAAAATGTATAGAATCGAATATATGATGAAAATTTTTTATTTTCTAACGGCCATCGATTTCGACGAGAATGTCATCTTCAGGCCGAGCGTTTAACTTATAAATTGTACATGAGAAAATTGCGGAGACAAAAAACATGTTTTGAAATTTTTTATAATTTGAACATTGAACTGGAGTAAGACCTAAATTATATAAAAATAATACATTAAAACAGTTTAAAATTTATTAAAAAATTAATCTTCACGATAGGACTGACCACCCTGGCGTGGTAGAGTTGCTAAAGAAACCAATTAAAGCTACTGAATTAAGACCAATTTCACAAGAAGAGTTTTCCAAAATTTTGAAGAATAAAAATTATGATGTGCACATAGGGGAATATATTTATGATAAGGAGTTGCAACTAATTTATTATTGTATACAGGATTCTCGATCAACGTCGTCATTAAGTGAGTCGTTGAGAGACCTAAAATATATATGTAAACAAAATAATATTCCGGAATTAATCGTAATAAAAAAGAATCAGAACGCGTTCTACCCAAATAGGTTTTGTATAAATAAGAACTTCCTAAATGAAATAATTAAAATTGGAAAACAATTGAAAACCAGAAATTTAAAAATTAGTATACCTATTAAAAGATATTGAACATATAACCGACAAAGATACACAACAGTTAATTATTAATGATTTTCACATGTTACCTACAGGAGGGCATGCTGGAATCAACAGAACATATAACAATATAAAAAGGAATTATTTTTGGAATGGATTACAGAAAGATGTACAAAATTTTATTAGAAAATGTGATGACTGTCAAAGGTATAAACATTCAAACGCTAAGATTGAACCGATGGAAATAACAACCACAGCTACTTCTGCATATCAAAAAGTTTATGTAGATCTGATAGGTCCATTAGAACCAGATGAAAAAAACCATAAGTATATCCTTACGTTACAATGTGAGTTAAGTAAATTTGTAGAAGCATACCCTTTAATCAATAAAGAAGCTAATACCGTAGCCGAAGCTTTTGTACAAAACTTTATATTAAGGTATGGTGTTCCAGATGAAATAGTTACAGATAAAGGTACAGAATTTTTAAACTCAACATTGACAGAGGTTTGCAAAATTTTAAAGATAAAAAAAACTAAATTCAACAGCATACCACCACCAAACTTTAGGCTCTTTGGAAAATTCTCATAAAAACTTAGGTTCATATCTCAGAATGCAGATTGCTAATCACCCAGATGCATGGAGTACATGGGTATCATTTTGGTGTTTTGCGTACAACAATTCGGTTCATACTGAAACGCGTTACACGCCTTTCGAATTAGTTTTTGGTCAAACTTGCAAAATTCCTTCAAATATAACAACAAAAACTGATCCAATGTATAATTTTGATAGTTATCCAATTCAATTAAAATACCGTTTACAACAAGCATGTCAAGATGCTAGACAAAATTTGTTAAATTCAAAGTACAGACGAAAAAATTACTATGATTTGAAAAGTGTAGTTACAGATTATAAGGTAGGAGATAAGATTTTGTTAAAAAACGAATGTAATCATAAAATGGATCCATTATTTAAAGGTCCGTTTGAAATAGTAGAAGTTAAGCAACCAAATATTGTCATTAGAGTAGATCGTAAATTGCAAGAGGTACATAAAAATAGAGTTAAGTTATATCATATGTAAGTTTTCTAAAACAATTTCATTATTGTAAATTATAGCATATTAGCATAGTAAGTATTTAATTTTAGTGATGGAAAAAAAATATACATTGACCTCCAACAATATATATTTTTTTTAAGTTTCCGAGGGAGATGTAATGTAATAATTAGTGATTGCCGAAATTAGGATACACGTGCATAAGGTTTCAAAACTTTGAGTTCAAATAATTGTTGATTCATAATCATTGCATTGAACTGATTTAAATTTAATTGCATTAACTTTCTTGCGAAAACGCTTATTATTGCAGTAAGCATTATTCCACTTTCGGTGTATCACTAATAGGTGAATATTACTAACAGTAGATTTGTAATCGAGAACGAGTAAGCATGTACCATTAATTACTGTCTACAGAATTTATTCAATTCTTAATAAAATAAATATGAAGTTTTCGTGATCTTAATTAAACCAAACCCCTGCAAATATCACATCTGCCTCTAGCAAACGCTTGAACCTATTCGGTTCAAACTTTCCACAGTTAGTTAACATATATATCACATGTAACAAGCCAATTGAAAATGGGTCAAATCCAATGACTCCGTGGAGTCACACCGAGGTGTTCTGCCGCTTTTTTAAACGCTCTTTATGGGTTTATTATGCCTTAAAATAACGGTGTACCGCATAATTGCACTTTTTCCATATTTTATCTTTTCACACCATTGTTAATCATATATTTTACGAAAATTGTCAATTAAGTAATTATTCAAATTTGATCTTTTCATACCAAGAATCATCTCTTAAATAATATACACCGTGGCCAAGATAATGGTGTCTATCATGGAGATCTCGGAAACTAGCAGGTACGGCGGTGGTTAAAATAGGCAAAAGTTGCGCAATTAAAGTTACTACCATGTATTAAAGGAAACTAGAAAATTCCGATTACTTCCGAAGATATGCCAGAAAAACCGAAATTTGTCGATTTCGTTTTAATTTTTTCCTGATGTTATTTGACATCGTACAAAAAATAAAAGCACTTTCTCATTGCCACTTTTTGAGCTCCGTTGAGAGATTCTCAATAAAACATTTCATTTCGGAGAAATCATCATCCACTTTATTTTATTATGTGATACGTAAAAAAAGTATATACTGTATTGAGTACCATTTTTTATTAAGAATGTACACACAACAAAAAACAAAAGTTGGAAGTTGTTTTGTTTTCAACAGGACGATGCATTATTCTCGCACGATTAGGGCGTTATGGGCGGGTGCACCATTCTCTTGGTTTCTAATTTTTAGCTTCCTAGCTTGAGCTAGGATTTTGTTCAAATTTTGAATATGTATATTAGACATACTGAAACGAAAAATAACGAGCCAGATTTTTGAAAAAAAAACTTTGGAGCGCCGCAACGGCATTGAACTTTTTTTTTCAAATAGCAACCTAAAATTTTCGAAAGAACTTATTTTTCTGTGTACAACCTATAAAAATTGTGCCAGCTTTTATTACAAAAAAACTGAGAAAAAAAATGTCAAGGTTGAAAAACTAAAATATTTTTTTTCGGCAAGACTAAATTAATTCTAATTAGAAATTACAATTATTATTAATAAAATCTAAAATCAATAGACATGAGCAAAATTAAAAAAAAAGAGATACAACGTGTTATATTTGTATTTCGTGGATTCTGATTTATATGAATGGAACAGAACGGAACAAACTTAATTTATTGACAATTTTCCTACTTGCTATTCTCGTAACTAGGATACTCTCTTTTTTTCCAGCGCAATTATGATGTAATTTTAAATATATATAACACTTCCCTCGCTAAATAAAATACCTTAAATTCACAACCATGAAGAAACGTACATTTAATTAAGATCATAATCTTGTAAGTATTGTGGAAATCTAACATTTCTTCGTGGTCTTACATTCTGTGTTACATGTTCAGGTTCTTGTAAATTTTCCTGTCGTGGTTGAATTGGTTCATTTGAGTCTGATTCGGGATTTACATAATCAAAATGATCTAATTCTACATCGGATTGTACTGGTACGTTTCTGTGACATTTCATCATCTGATTTATATGTCTTCTGCATATTTTACCATTGTCCAATGTAATCTCATAATGTAATCTACCTGTTCTTTTGGATATTTTCCCAAAAGTCCACTTGTTTTTACCAACATAAATCCTACATTGGACTCTATCACCCCTTTGAAATTCCACACATTCTTTTTCAAAATTAACTACATGATCTTGTTCTTTGTCAGGAAGAAAACTGTCTAAACGAGAACGTATTTGTCTTCCAAACATTAATTTTGATGGTGATACTTGTGTAACATTATGAGGCATAATTCTGTATTTCATTAAAATTTTTTGTACATTTTGGTCTATTTCATTATTAGTGCATCGAGTACTCAAAAGTGATTTTTTTAGAGTTTGAACAAAACGTTCCGCCTGCCCGTTTGTTGATGGATTGTAAGGAGCTGTAAATTTGGAACTAACTCCGTTTTGTTTCAAAAAGTTTTGAAACTCTCTTGAATGAAATGTACTGCCATTATCGGTTACAAAAACTTTTGGTAATCCGAATGCAGCAAAAATTTCTCTACAAACTTTTATTGTAGTTTTCGCTGTGATATCATTAACAACGTATGTAAATGGATATTTTGAATAACTATCAACTAAAATAAAAAAATATTTACCCATGAAAGGTCCTGCAAAATCTGCGTGTACACGATGAAACGGTTGATCAGCTGGTTCCCAAATATGCTTTTCTACTTGTTTGGGATTATTTCTGACTAGGTTACAACTAACACATTTTTTAGCAGTATTTTCTATATCTGCATCAATACCCGGCCACCAACAAATTCCTCGTGCTAACCCTTTCATCTTAGCCATCCCAAAGTGTCCTTCATGTAATCTCGTCTAATATAGATTTACGTAACTGTTTAGGAATGACTGCTCGGTGTCCTCTCATTAAAACACCTTGCTGAATGCTAAATTCATTTTGTTCTATATTCCATCTTTCATCTTTAGGAATATTTTTCTGTACTTGTAAGGATGTGATAAGCTTTGAAATACCTAAATCTTTCCTACTTTCTTCAGCTAATTTTTGTGCTGTAATCGGTAAAGTTTCAATTGTATCAATTTGGAAAATATCAATTACATCGTAATTTGATGTGTCTGCTCTACTTGGAAGTCTTGATAAACCATCTGCGTTACCATGATTATTTGTATTTTTGTATTTAATAGTGTAATTAAACCCTTGCAAAAATAATGCGTAGTGTTGCATTCTCATTGCTGTGTAAAATGGCAAACTTTTTGTTGGCGATAATATTTGTGTTAAAGGTCTATGATCTGTGTACAACGTAAAAGTATTACCAAACAAATATTGATGAAATTTCTTAATTGCAAAAATGATGGCATATGCTTCCTTGTCTATTTGGGTTTCTGTTAATGTTTGTGATGCATATTGTATGACTCGTTCTGTACCATCTGGTTCAACATGTGAAAGAACCGCTCCCACACCATAAGAGCTTGCATCTGTAGCAACTATGATTGGTTTTTCTGGATTGAAATGAACAAGAAATTCGTTACTTTGAAATTCTGTTTTTGCAAGTTGAAAACTATTTTCCCATTCTTTTGACCAATGGAACTTAGAGTTTTTGCATAATAATCGATTTAGTGGATAAAGAATTGTACTTAAATTCTTTATAAACTTTCCGTAATAATTTACAAAGCCAATGAATGCTCGTACTTCTGAAACATTATTAGGTCGAGGCATTTCTGTAATGGCATCCATTTTCTTTTTGCATTTATGTATACCGTCTTTATTAATAACATACCCGCAATATTCGATTTGTTCTTTGAAAAACTCACTCTTTTCTTTGTTAATTTTAATGTTGTACTTGCTCAATCTTTCAAAAACGGTTTTTAGTGTATATAAATGTTCCTCGTATGACAACCCTGTAACTTTAATATCATCTACAAAAACAGTAACACCTGGAATATCGCACAAAATTTTTTCAATTTCTCTTTGCCAAATGGCTGGAGCAGATGCAATTCCGTAAAGTAATCGATTACATTGGTATAAACCTTTATGTGTATTTAATGTTAAGAGTGGTCTGTCTTCAGGTACGACCTCAAGTTGTAAGTACGAAATTCGTAAATCAATTTTTGAAAAATATATTCCTCCTGCCATCGAAGATAATAACTCATCAATCGTTGGCAAAGGATATTCATCGATCTGTAAGTTGGGGTTAACAGTGACTTTAAAATCACCACATAATCGAATCGTTTACTTTTTAAAACAGGCACTACCGGTGTAGCCCACTGTGACGTATTAACTTTTTCTAACACTCCTGCTTCCACTAACTTATCTATTTCTTTTTCAACTAATGGTACTAGTTTAAATGGAATTCGGCGCGCTTTAATAAATACCGGTGTTGCGTTGGGTTTCAACTGAAGCTTGGCTTGTATACCTCTAATCTTAGTAAAGTCATTATTAAAAATTGTAGTGTAACATTTACATAAATCATTCCACCCTATTTCTACTTTGGATGAAATTTGTAAAATATTGTTTATTTGTAACAAATTTAACTGTCTAATCCATTCGCGACCCAATAGTGGTTGTCTATCTAGTTTTGTAACATAGCAATTCAAATCGTACTTTTGGTGATTGTATTGAACGTTCACTGTAATATATCCAATTAATTGTACAGGCATTTCACAATATGAGAATAGCTTTAAATCTGTACATTGAAGAGCATGTGTAGCAAACAATTTTCTGTAACACTGCTGACTTATAACTTATAAGCGTAACGGCTGAACCGCTATCAACTTCGAAATTTACTGATTTATTTTGAAGCTTTAACGTAATTGAATATTTCTTTCTGTACTCAGTAGATTCCGATGTAATTTGTAAAATTTCCTCTACATTATTTACCTGTTTATCCTTCATGCAAACCTTTCTCAAATGACCTTTTACACCACAGGATGTACATGTGATATTCCTGTTTAGTTTACATTTGTTGGCAAAATGATTGCCTCCGCATCTAAAACAATGTATATTAGTATTAGAATTAAAATTTCCTGTATTGATTTTCTTCTTTTCCTGAAAATTGGTCTTCTTCGCGGCTGCACTTGTATCTTCTCCCTTGTGTGTATTTTTTGTATCCTTCTTGAAATTGTAATTGATGGCATGCACATTTGTACCTTTGTGTTGTAACTGCTGTATATCTTTTTCGGTAATTTCCATGCTGCTAGCGACTTCCATGGCTTTTTCTAAAGTCAGGTCCTTTGTTTCTAGTAGTCTAGTTTGTATTCTTTTTGATTGAAGCCCGAACACTAACTGATTCCTTACAGCGTTATTCAAATAATTACCAAATTTGCAATTGATGCTTAATTTTTGTAATGCATGACAATATTCTTGGATCGACTCACCTTCTACTTGTTTACGAGATTGAAATCTAAATATTTCGGCTACTTCTAACGGCGATGGTGAGTAGAAATGTTCCAACGTCTGTATAATTTCTATATACGTTTTACTTTCTGGTTGCACCGGAGATAATTTGTCTGCGAGGATGTCATACGTACTCGCACCCATGTAGTGTAATATGTAGTACACTTTCATATCATCCGTAGTATTAAATACCTTGAAAGCACCTTCTAGACGTTTTACCCACCTGGCCCATGATGTTGTACTTGGGTTGAACGCTTCAATTATAAATGAATGTTGTACTGTATTCAATGACTGCTGTACTGTATTTGTAGGTGTGGTATTCATTGTACTTTGTAATATTCTTCCTTATCCTCGTCGCCACTTGTTATATTTGTATTTCGTGGATTCTGATTTATATGAATGGAACAGAACGGAACAAACTTAATTTATTGACAATTTTCCTACTTGCTATTCTCGTAACTAGGATACTCTCTTTTTTTCCAGCGCAATTATGATGTAATTTTAAATATATATAACACAACGGTACGCGGTCACCCATCCCAGCCCGGCGCCCTAGATTGCTAAACTTCGGTGATCGGACGAGAACTGGTGTTTTCAACGTGCTAAATGGCTATTGTCGAAAAAGTTACGGGTTAGTTAAGGGAAACAATGTAGAATATTTTTTTTTACAAAAAGAGCATACAAAAAAAGATGCAAACGCGACACGAATTTCGTATTAAGGAACAAATGTATCATTAAAAATAACGTATTATCGCGATCTAATTAGAATTATTAATTTAAGGGGTAAACTTTGTTTTTTTCCAATAGAATTGAATAAATAAAAATAAATACGGTTTACGGTGGTAACAGTTATACCGGGTGGTTAAAAATAAATTTCAACATTTCTATTAGTAGCAATTTTAAAAACAACAAAAGTCATGGCTATTGCTACTAATAACAGAAATGTTGAAATTTATTTTTAAATTTGCTGGTATACCAAAAGCTTAATAAAACATGTAAAAACAGTTTTGTACGCACGTTTTCATTCTGAACAACTTTTTAAACTGTTTTTTCTGTAAAATGTACAGGAGGGCAGGATATTGCATAAAACTAATTTCCCATGTTAAATCCCTATGTTCCTACTTACCGCGCACCACCCGGTATACGATAGTTTTGATGCAAGCATTTTTGCATAGAATATATTGTATTAGTTTCAGGAATGATTTATGGGGGTTTAACTGGATACACGAGACGAATTGGGGTGTAGCCGAGGGCGTATAGGGACACTCGGCCAAACAAACAAAAAAGTAACCATAAAAAAAGTGTTTTAAGAAAAGGAATAAGGCAAAAAAACGAAATCAAATACGAACATGCGTAGGATCCAAATTTATTATGTGTAGAACGATTTCCTTGAGGTTTGATAGCTAACCCTCTAAATAAAACAAAATAGATCTCTCAGAGCAACGAGTAATAAATATTAAATTTCAAAATAGAACGTTCATAGTAAAATACAATAAATAGACCCATTGGCTTATGTCATGAGTAAACAAAGGTAGAGCCTTGCTTACTGTGAAACGATTTTTTCTTATGCGTATGCGTAAAATGAAATACAGTACGCATGATAAGAAAAGTGGGTATTTCCAAGGTAGATCAAAAGTCCAAAAATCAAGTTCGTGCAAGACCAACTTTCCTATAATGTGCCCACATTATCTTAAATTTATTTCAAAATTTCGTTAGGAACTATCAAAAATTGCAAGTGTAAAATTGTTAGGTATTTTCCACATTGCATGCGGATCACCTTCAGAACAATCATAGAAAAAGTTACAACTTACATCTGGTAGGTACTTCTTACACGATTAGCAGATTCATACCTACACGACGCCAATTAAAGCATCCTACTTCTATGTGAGCTTTAAGCTCCCAATGGTTTTCGACTACTATCTCGGACTCGGGAATTGTATGAAAGTTGGCGTGTTTTTCAAATGGTTGTGAAAGCTGGTTGGCTGCGCAATCGGTGTTTTTTTTTTGTTCAGTATCTCGAGGGAAATTTCAAATCTTTATAAGTAACGCATATACACCTAACATTTTAATTAATTAGGCCAACTAATTATGAGTCTCTCGCAAATTAGACAACAAAAGAAAAGTTTTAATTTGCGCACCGCATTTTCACACCGACCCAGCTCCTTGTTTTGTCCCATTAATTTGCAGCCACTTTCCTTCGCAAATGGAGGTTTTTAAGTTTATCGATTTTTGCGCGATCTCTTCCGGCGTTTCCATATTAAAAGTTCGTGTTCTAAATCATCCCCAACAATTCATTACGTTCGACAATAAACGTCCGATACTTTTGTTCGGCGAGTTATAATAAAAAAATATATATCATGAGACTAGAAATCTACTAATTGGAAATTTTTGCCATGCGGTAAAAACGCCATAAATTAAAATTACACGTCTTGGTTTT